TTGTTCCTTTAATTGGATCACTGATTTTTATGCGTGTCTGTAGAAAAAAAAAACAATATAATAAAATGTGATATTTTTAACATAACTCATTCAATTAATTACAGAATAAAAATAATTAAAACATTTTTTTTGGTTACCCTTAGTTACATATTATTCTTGAGTTATTAGCTATGTAATACTTTTTAAGTAAAACTTTGTTTATTTATTTGATATAAACAAATAAAGTTATATTAAAAATTAAAATTCCATTTATTATTAAATTAAAAACTCAAACATTTTATTAAATTCAAAATATGTCTCTATTTAAAAAAAAACAAAGTAGGCACTCTTACAAGGCATAAGGGACGAACTTAAAAAGTATTACATACATTGTAATAATTACATTGTATAACTAAAGAAAACCAAAAAATCAATGTTTAAATATATTTATTCTGTAAGTAATTGAGTGGGTTATGATGAAAAAATCACTCTGTATATCAACTATTGTTTGTTTTATGAAAATTAATAATTTATTGGGACATTTCTCTTTATTTCAAGGATTGAAGGGAATTTTTCAAAGTTTTGGTATTATAAGGTTAAACTAGATACGGTTTTTTATCTTTTATGAATTTGTTGAGAAAAATCGGTTCAGTAGAAGCAGAGTATTGTAACACAAAAAAAAAAATTGTACGTCATAGTAAAACAAATAGCTTCTCGATTACTCATTGTAACTAAAAAATATGTTAAATCATCAAAATATATTAAAATATTAAAAAAGAAATACTGTTTTCTATTATCTTAGTAATTAATCAAAAATATTTTTTCTTCTGATGAGCTACATAAAGGCCATAAAAATATGTATAAACCTAAAATTCTGGTCTATTGATATAAATATGATATATTAACTTTATTTAGTTTGTCATAATTTGTAAATAAAAAATTGACAGTAACAAAATTAATTTTATTAAATGTTCTTTTGTGCTGTTAAATATAAAATATAGCTTATAAAATCTACATTAAATTAATGACGTGTAATTCTTAGTAACTCCAAGTAACCTTTAGAATTCCAATTTATATTTTAAAATATCGTCAGATTTATAATCATGAATTTGATAAAATACATTCATATAAAAACAAATATTAATAATAACGAATATTGCATCGAATAAAAAAGATTTTTTAAAGAAAATTCCATTAGCTTATGAGACATCTTTTGTCAGGAGTCCAAACTAATATTCAAATACCAGTTTTTGAGCATTGCCAATCATAACACATACATCGTCGTATCTATTTATTTATAATTAATATTTTCACCAAGTATTGAACAAAATGTATAATGTCATTTAAATAAATCTATTATGTATTATTTTTGTTTATTACCGGACATAGTATATTTAAATTTCAAACTTTATTCTTAATTGTAGTTCAATAACATTTGCTCTTTTATTTGATATGTTTTACATGGAAAATTATATAAAAGCAAAATATTTTTGGCTTCTTCAGAAAATTATTTTGGCTACGTACTTGATTAATTTTATCAAATTAGTAAATTAGGTGTTCATTATATATTAGTATAGGAGATGAGATTTCTTGGCGCGCAATATTGGGTTCAGTTTCGTTTTCTGAGCTCTACAGTTTTGTTAGTACTGTCTAACACAAACTATAAATCGTTAATAAAACACTGTACATTTATTATTATAATAGAACGATTAAGCATTGTCAATTTCAAACACAGTCGATTTTAAGTGAGACTATTTATTAAACGTCTTGACGTTATCACGGTTAATTTGCTTAGTATCCCCAACGTCAAAACCTGTAAATTAAGTTGAATTATCAACGCTAAGAACTCAACCAACTTGAAAACAACGTTTATCGTAATAGATCACTTAAGTAGAAATCATTAGTAATCATTAGTAGTATCACATCAATAGTAATCATTTATAATTATCTTTTGGTATTTAAAAAGATTCTACAATTGAAATATTCAGAGCTTAATTAATTTTAACGATTTACTTTATCTAAAAAAACCAATCATGTTGTTAAAAAGATCTACTCAATTGAGCGTATTATATTATTTGATATAATTGTAAAAATTCATTGTTAATTTCAGGTTGTTACGTCGCTATTTAGGGGTTGAGCCTAAATGCCCGTCGACAGTGAAATGGTATTTATTTTATTTTACAAATTAAAAATTAATTTTTTGATTACAATTCGTTTATGTATTAAATAACAATTTAAAAATTTATATAAATACCAATATATACAAAAATAAACATATTTCTTTCTATGTACTATTTAGTATGTGTACGATTAGTCGTAGTTATATTTCTAACCTTAATTTCAGTTGTACTGGTGATTCAGTTTTCATTGATGTAGGAGTTCAAATATAGTTGATATTCGTGTGTATTTATTCGTTGTTCTCTCAAACATAGTTTGTTGATATTTCCATTTTAATTCATCATAAAAAATCTTATTGTTACTTGTTAGTTTTTATTTTAGAGAGAAAAACGAAAAACAAAAGTGTTCATTTTATTTAATACATAGATATCATAACCAACCAACTATTTTATCTTCTTATCACTTTGTTAGGTATGACAACATTTTTCCAGCGCCGCCACCACATAATGCGAATGTAAAAGTCCCACACGACGTTGCCGCATATTATACAATAATACGAGTAATAATACAATAATAGTACATTTACAATATTTCATCTAAACTGTACCATTTCAACATTATTCTAAGGGACCAACGGGGGATAGCTGGCTAGGCTATATCTACCTTAGGTACTGAAGTTTCCTATTTAATTTATATTCCCTTAGAGGAACTACCAAGGGTCGCACTACAATATATATATATATATAACACTTTTGTTTAACAACGATATAAATAAATATTTATTAAATGATCGAAATATTAAATGGATAATACAACCTGCTGGACACCTAGAGATGATATAATCCAACAGGGAGCTGACGGCGACACACACACACACACTATATACGGGGTCGAAAAGTTAAGATAATTATCAGACAAAAGTAGTGATCGCAAAGATGGTGAAATGTCAACTGTCGATAAGGATATCTTATTATGGCACATTGACCGTGAATTGCAAAAAGTGTTTATCGTGTATGACCGGTTCGAACGTGTTAATTATTGGTCCGATCATCGTTACTTCCTCAGCGAGCGACACATCCTCTTTGGTACGTAAACAGTACACTCGTTCTCGCGACTACGATCTAATAGTCGTTCCTCAACAATTAAGTAGTGCGTTATCTTCTCTCGTATTCACAACAAACGCCTCCGCGTGTTTGTGCTATTGATCGGCCATAGTTCGCCATATCTTTATTGTTTATGCTCATACGGTTGCGTCTTACATGTTTTGTACTGTATATCCGTGTAAAATAATCTTTCTCGCATATTACGAGTTAGTGTCATCGTTCACGTCGTCATCAACGCTCACATACAGTCCACACTCACCACCATTAATTACCATCTTAACTTATACAGCTAAGTGTTTAATTGTTTGTTTTATTTATTTTGTATATTATTTATTTTGTTCATGGCCGCTTTGTCGGTCAGTATAATATGTAAGTTACCCCCCCCCTTTCCCTTTACTTTTAAGGATTTCATTTGCAGAACTGTAATATAATTCGTAATTTATACAATCATAAGCAGGTGTACCTATTTATTATCCCCTCTGATTTCCGCATTTTGATTTCAACAAAATAAACAACACCATCGCACAGTAATAGGCCATTCCCCTTTATTATTAAGGGGCTGCTTGTTACAATTGCTATTTTGAATCTTACCCCGTGTGCAGATAAATGGCCAGATTTTCTAAAATTGTTTACCAAATAAATTTATTTTTAATAAAGTTATGACACGTTTAAGTATTAAAATATTAATATTTTAAAAGGTAATTTTTATATAAAAATTACATTTTTTGTTCAATTCGGCGGGCATTTCCCCAAAGAAGAAAAGGTTTTGTTTAATATAATATTTACAAAAATCAGTGTACTACCCTTTTAAGTTATATTAAAATAAATTAAAATACAATACCAAGAATTTTAATACAAAAATAGCATATTATAGATTAAATAAAAATGTCAATATTTCTGAAACACTTTCAAAACTTAAGTTAAAAAATTTTCATTTTAATTCAAAAATTTTTATATTGAATTCCCCCTGTGGACAGGTAAAGGGTCAGGCTTCCAAATATTTATATGAAATGAAAGAAAAATACCTATGGTTTCATAATAAAAACAATTATTTTGATTTGTTCATTTTTCTATAGTCTATGGATATTTTTTGAAAAAAAATTTGAAAAATGTCAAAATTTACCAATTTTAAAAATTGTAATTTTTTGATCGATTTCTCCCCCATTTATGAGGAACGAGAAAATTTTTGAGAATAACATCTTCGACTAGATACGATTTGTGATCTTTTCACATATCGTTGAAAGAAATCGGTTCGGTGAGAGCTGAGAAAAGGCAGTGACAAACACAAAAACATGATAATTAAAATATTAACACATCATGGTAAAATTAATACCTCCTCAATTCTCATCGAAGCTAAAAAAATAAAGTTAATGATTTATTTCTTTATTTTTAGATAAGCAGTTATAGGTAAATATATGTGCGAAAAACATTTGTCGTTTCATAATTTAGTAACCAGAGTTAACGTTTATCATTTTTTTTTTTAATTATACAGAAAATTTTTATGACTATTTAATGATAAATTAGTATCTATTAAAGAAAACCATCTGCAAATTATCAAAGCTTATTTATAAACTTAAATTTCAGTATTTCATGTTGATTGAAACATACAAAGGAAGTTTTTTTATAGTATTTTGAGTATAATTATGACGATAAAATAATTATATAAATTACTAAGGTTTTATACCTGTCATTTATAAATAAAATGTTTATATTCATAGTAATATTAAATATTAAAACCAAAATTTAATTTATTAAACGCTTTGTTTGCTATTTTAAAAATATATAAAAATGGCCTTTCAACGCTAAAAAAACTAAGTATTGTTATAATAGTTTTAGTTTTCAATTTTATTCAAATACAGCGATAATCAATCCAAAAATGTATTTTTACATTTTCTTTGTTGTTTATCTAGCAAATAATTTTTCAAATGGACTGCTTTTCCGGACTAATCCTTTGAATGAGGTAAATAGATATCATTTAATTTTTAAGAACAGTTAATGGTTAAATGTTTTTTAATTGGAAAATTAATTTTTAGGAATATTTAGATGTTTATTGAGACATATATTATTTTTTATTCTATCTTACTTAGATATACGATTTTCCGAAAAAAACATATAAACTTGTATTATTTTTTAAATAGCATAAATACACAAAACAATCCATATTGAAATCATGTATTATAAATTCAGAACATCTAGAAATTATGAAAATATAAAATTTTTAAATTTGTTAAAATAAAATATCTGATACTTTGCTTTTATTTTAATTTTTACTTAAAATTATTTTTCTAATCTAATTAATTTATCAAGTCAGTAATATGATACTCAAACATAATTTTGCATGTTTATGCATTTGGCAGTAAAATCTTACTTTCTAGTAATTAAAATGTTACATATGAATTCCTTAAGTATAAATGATATTTGACAATGATTAAAATCACTATTATAAAAAACACTTTAATACGTAATCCAAAGGGGCGCACAATTATTCACAAGTATATATACAGTTATCACAACTTAATGCGTAGTCCAAGAACGGCGTACAATTATCTATCAAGATATATATATATATGTATAAGCCGTAATCGCGTTCGTTAACACTATGTACGTCAAAAAAACAAAACGAAACAGAAAAATACACCACTTCAGGTGAACGTCGAAAACGGAACAGCACCAAAAATAACACACCAGTTGAGGTGTACGTCGAAAACGGAACAGGACGCAATATCGGTAATCCATATTCGGCGGCGGCCTTATCTCAGTGTCAAGGGCGGGGAGACGACCGATGACAACCGATTGTCATATTAATAGCTGGACGGCTGATATCGAGAGAGACACGGGTGAGCGCCAGCCTAGAGCAAAAGGCGGTGCCGTGTCAACTTCAATCAAATCTGTAGATAGTATTTCATTTTTAGAAGTAATTATTAAATTATTCCCAAACAACGTGACCTCTTATTTTCTTATTCATATCTTGGTAATTTATAATTATAATATTTGAATAAATATACTATGAATTTATAAAATATAATACATACTATAAAAATGAAATTTAGCATAAAAGTTTTCGTATAATTAAATGGTTATTTTGTATTTTAAATAAGAGAACCCTGTTTTGGCAACTGTATAATCATAATATGTGGCATACATGTACAAATGAAAACATCATATTATATGTAATAATATAATATTACACACTTGTTCGTCAGTCGAAACTAAACATGGAGGGACCAATTGTTTTGAAGTACGGAGACCTCCTCTTTTATACAGTTCAGTTTTCGGTAAACTTGTACCAACTGATATATGTCCAACATGATTTTTCGGTCATCGGGCACTACATTAACAGGCATTCTTGTTACTACTCCATCAATAGATATATTTGCCTCAAAACGACCTAACGAATGAACTTTACCAAATCCATATCCAAAAAATTCATCTGTTACTTGAGCATCGTAGTCAATTAACAGATTATTGTCATCATTCAAACGCATACGACACACGCTACTCCCATGTCGACGTTTACTCCAACTGTAGTACCGTTTATGACAGCGTCTTTAAAGTACTTAGACTGTGCACCTGCATGTCCAACTTGAAGCACTTGTCTATTATTATATTGCTTTGTCATAGTCAATTGTGAGGTACTTAGGGTCGTTGCAATTGTACTTGCATTTCTCCTCACATGACAGTCTCATACTCTGTGACCAGGGGATGGACATTTAAAACAAGTTAGAGTTGGTTTTTGGGGACAAATTTTTGAACACTAAATTGCGTAATTATTTTCGGCTCACGATTAGCCCAAGTTGAAAATAACTATNCGATTAGCCCATGTTGAAAATAACTATGTACGCGTATAAGACAATAATAGTCTTTTTATCGACAAAATTATAATTTTCAAACACATGCACATTTTTTTCAAAAAAAATGTACGCTTTACCACGCACAATGAAACACTCGCAAAAAAAATGTTATAATTTTAACGTATACTTAAACACACTCGAACTAACCCTCCACTCGTTATCCACGCGTTTATCCCACACCTGAACTGTAATAATACTTTAGAATCTATAAAATACTTTATAATAAAGAACCAAGACGTCAAGGAAACTGAGAAGGCTATTTTTAGTATTTGTTTTTTTTATTTATATTTTATTAATATTTTTTCTTTTGTATGTCGATTACCACTTTTTAACAGCTCTCATTGGATTAATATTACTCAACTACACTGCGGCAGTAACGCAGGTGAAATAGGGAAATGTCCCGACTGAAGAACTATTACATAATATTGGGGTCCTTTCATCAAGTTCTATTTTCAAAAATTTTATGATTTGATTTTAAATAAACAATAGTTATTGTATTATAATTTATTAAAATAATTATTAAGTAATATAAATAAAAATCACTGAAGAAAACATTAGAATTAAGGTTATTTCTTACTGTATTCAACATTTTATTAGGCTCCCTTAGAAAATTTTCTAGTATAAAAAATATGTTACTCTTTTGACTTTTAACATCTATTCAATTTTTGAATGTGAAGAAATTATTTTTTTTGTTACCACTTACAGTAGTTACAGTTGAAAAAAACTTTCAAAACTGAAACTAATTAAATTCACACGTTTATAACAGAGGGTAACATTGATTTTCAGAGAATATATTATTTAATTTAATATATTATTTTTATATTATATAATATAAAATATTTATATTTAACATTCCTGTTCTTGTATTAATGATAAAATATTAACAAATTTACAGCATCAATGCCTTTATTTAATTTACTTAATAATACAAATTTTAATTTTATTTTATTAGGACATAAAAAAATTGTTGCACTTAATTGAATATTTATGTTCCCTATTTATTAATTAACATTTAATGTATTAAATGTATATATTTTCGTTGTATTGTTCAAAGAAATAGATACAACATGTTGATTAAAAATTTAAATGTGAGGTCTTATTTTGCATTGTTTACGCTTTGAAACTTATAAATATGTTTAATCATTATTTATGGATATTAATGCTTATTTTGTTACAAGCAATTCAATTTTATTATAATATTTATATTGTTCATTAAATTCATTTTAAACTTTTTTTAGGCTTAAAATACGCCCGATTCTAGAGGTCGTGCTTTTAATTTAATTATAGTGCTCATCAAAGGCACAATCACATTTTTTTTTTAGTTTGGGTAATTTTAAATTATACGAATGATTGCTTTTTTACTGAAAACACTACTACGAATCAATAATAAAAAACCCACCACAGGGGGGTCGCGGCTCAGTGGGGACGTGGCATACTTGGGTCAAGTATAATGATATCTGACCGTGATTAAAATCACTATCATAAAGAACGCTTCGATGCAAATCTTTATGTAGTGTTTATTTTTAAAAAATTGGTGAATTATTCCAAAAGCTACATGATCTTCTATTTCCTTATTTATATCCTGATTAAAATAAAATATGTCGAATAAAAGAGGGATATAAATATTATTTCTCATAAAAACATTGTATTGATGTTATATGTAAAAAATAAAATCGAATATTTCACATAAAAATAGCATTCGGTAGCCATTTTCACCATGATGACAAAATAAAGTTTGAAATTTTTTTTTCCATAATAAAGTATATTACATTAGCTTTAATTTCCGTGTCAGACTTTCCGGAACACTTTCAAAAGTTTATTTGAAATATTTAATTTTTGTGTAAAAGTTGTCATTTTAAATCCCCCCCTGTGGGCAGGTAAAGGGTCAGATTTATAAAAAAAATATACCAAATGATAGGTAATGACATCAAGCATCTTTTAAAGAAAATTATATTGATTTGTTCATTTTTGAAAAAGTTATGACAGTTTTAAGTAAAAAAAATTAAAAATTTTTTGAAAATTATCGATTTTTAAATTTGTACTTTTTTTGGAAGTTTCCTCCATTTACGAGGAATGAGGGACATATTTTTTAATTTTTGAAGGTAATGTCTTCGACTACTTACAATTTTTGATCTTTTGACGTATCATTGAAAGAAATCGGTTTGGTGAGAGCTGAGAAAAAGTGGTAACAGACACAAAAAAAAAAAAACACATCGTAGTAAAACCAATTCCTTCTCAGCTTCGCATCGAAACTAAAAATTATTTGAACAAACTAACAATTTAAATAACTTAAAACCTAAAGACATACAATATTTGTATACTTATTGCTAATATTCTAAAACTTCTTTCAATATTCGCTATTAAGTTTCTGAACTTTGTCACCTTAAATAAAATTAATAGATTTTAAAGCAAAACCTAATTTTTTCAGGAAAATATTTGTGGGAAATTTTTTTTTTATATTATATTTTTATAGAAAACTTCGGTATTTTAAATTAAGTTGAAATTTTTAAAAAACCATAAAGGTGCATACATTTAAGAATCAATGGTAATTTAAAAATTTCTTCTAAAACTTGAACACTAACTACAGATTTGCGTCGTAGGGTTTTGTATAAGAATGATTTTAATCGCTGTTAGATATCAACTATACTTATCCCAACTATGCCACAACTTATTGTATTACGACCTCACTTGCTGAATTTTTATAATTAAATCTGAAGAATTTATGGCCATATTATTATTACTTATAATGTCATCTAATTCATTTCAGGAAAAAGAATTAATTGATTTAGCATCGACTACTTTGGAAAATTTTTTTAATAATAATAAACAAGATAAAAATGGTATGACATTTGAAGAATTTAATCATATATTGAAACAATATAACTGGATAATAGAACAACCTGAATTATTTATCCGAATTTTATTCAGAGAAGAAGTTGGAAACAGTAAGTAAAACTCTAATTATGATTTTCAAGTTGAATTTTATATTCAACAAATAATATTATAACTTAATCTGTGCAATTAATGTACTTTTCTATTTTTTCTCTGTATCGTTCAAAGAAATAAATACAACAATATTTTGATTAGACATATAAATATGAGGTTTTATTTTACATTGTTTACGGTTGAAATCTTATAAATACGTGTAATCTTTATTTATGCATATTAATGCTTATTTTGTTACAAGCAATATAATTTTATTATAATAATTATATTTTACCGTTAAATTCGTTCTAAATTTTCGTATCGTCACAAAAAGTATCTGTTTATTTTTTAGTCAGCTGTGTACTACTTCGGACCGGTTCATGGACGGCATTTGTGTGTAAACTCACCTTGCTCCTTTCCTATCTTGAACGTCATTTGCACTGCCACCACATACATTGTCCCTTTATGTTTCGAATTGTTCATAATAATTTCCGGCACTGAATACTTAATTTTTTTTGACTCCTACTCTAAAGACTAGTCGTGTTGTCGCTAACGGACCGCCGTGTCAAACGCCGGACGTTTTGTCGGAAATTAGCCATTGTCGCAATTGGTTGCTGGTTAGTTTTCCTCCGTAGCGGTCGTGATTTTTAACACGCTTATATTAGTTTCACATGTATGTCGTGTGTTGTTTGTTGTTTGTAACTTTCCACGCGCATGTGTCTACGGCCTTGAGACTAGACGGTCGTAACCCATTCACCACACCCCGCTCACCATTCGCCGACAACAATATTTTCCTATATAATTTTATTATATGTATATAAACAAATTTTTATTAAGACACGACCCCGCTTTGTGTGGTTGCTTTGTGCCATATTTTTTGTGTATTGAGCGCCCGACACTTTTATCACAATAATACTAGTATTTTTCGTTCATTATTGTTTTAAGCTTATTTTAAAAATTATTTTTAACTTTTTAGTTCGATGTGCTTTAAAAACGTGTTTTTCAGTTTTTTAAACTATATTTATTTTAGCTTCGATGCAAAGCTGAGAAGGTATTAATTTTACAATGCTGTGTTTTTTTTTTATTTTTTTTTTTTTTTGTGTCTGTGAACGCTCAATCTCAGCTGTCGCTGGACCGATTTTGATGAACAATATGTCAAAAGATCACAAATCGTATCTAGTAGAAGACATTACCCTCAAAAATTGAAAAAAATTCTCTCGTTTCACATAACAGGGGAAATCCCCAAAAAAATTACAAATTTAAAAATCGCTAATTTTCGATATTTTTTCAACTTTTTTACTTAAAATTGCCATAACTTATTTAAAAATGACCCAATCAATATAATTTTTTTTTTTATAGATACCTTAGATATTTACTTATCATTTTATATATATTGTGAACATTTGACTCTATAACAGCCCACAGGAAAGGTTTCAATATGGTAACTTTTTTACAAAAAATTAACATTATTAACTTAACTTTTGAAAATTTTCCGGAAAGACTGACACTTTTACATATACTTTAAATTTAACCTCTAGACTTGTCTTCGTGGTGAAAAAGGACATAAAAGTTAAAGAAAAACATACGATTTCCATGAAAAATATCTCGATTTAAAATTTTATATTATTTAATTTATATTGCCATAACTTTTGGAAAAATATATGGATCAATATTATTATTTTTTTATAGTAAATTTTTATATACCCCTTTCATCTGAAACACTTTTTTTGTAAATCAGATCATACCCCTTTAACAAGTGGGGTCAAAAATTTAAACATGTGTATTGAAACTAGGACATTTTCAATTTAATTTTTGAAAATATACCCGGAAATACTGACACTTTTATATATATTTTAAATTAAAGCTTATGTAATATACTTTAATTTGAAAAAAAAAAATTTGACCTCTGGACTTGTCTTCATGGTGAAAATGACTACCATATTCAAAAATATGCTATTTTTGTGTGAAAAATTATGGGTTTTGTATTTTATTTTAATTTAAAATACCTGACAAGGAGAGTACACTGATTTTCATAAATATTATATAAATAAAATTGATATAGCATAGAATGTTAAACTTGTTTAAAGTTTTTTGCTTTTTTTATGTCGTGAAAATAGCTTTGAAATTTGAACTAGTTTAAATTGCCATTTTTTTCAGTCGACGGAAGCGACGTATGGTTGCCGAGTCGGTAAAACTTAGGTATAACGCGCTTGGGATACAAGGTTCTAACCCCCGCATATACTAGGAAATTTAATAATTTTTTTACTCTATTAGTGTGTGCTACTACTAGACTATAATATTAAAAATTTTTTGATAACATGTTGCTATATAAATCTATTCTAAAAAAAAAGATTGTTAGTTTCTCCTGAATTAATATTGGACTTTTACAATTATAATCAAATTTTATTATACGCTCAATTGAGTAAATCTTTTTAACAACTTTGTTTTGATTGGTTCATTTAGTTAAAATAAATCATTAAAATTAATTCAGTTCATATTTCAATTATAGAATCTTTTTAAACACCATAAGTTACTAGGCAATGATTACTATTATTTCTATTTAATTTATCTATTACGATATAAATGCAAAAAAATATTGAGCGACTCTGATAAATTTACAATAAATAGTTAATTATAAAATTTCCTGACTGCATATTAATCTAAGCGATAAAATTTTTTTAATGCTCATAAAATTTTCTATTTAATGATGTTAATTTCAAACTTGTAAATTGAGCTAAAAGTTATGGTGATAAATCAATTTTATTTTATTATAAACTTTTACAAAAATCAACTTTAAAGGATTAAAAAAATAGGAAAAATATGTCATTTTCCTTATTTTTAACATATTAATAATCAAAATCAGTATAATTTTTTTTTTTGTTCTAAATAATTTTTTTTTATATGTAAATACTTATTTTTTTATAAGTAAAATATTAAAACTTAGAGTGATAGAAAAAGTCTAATTACACATTGCGAAAATATTGCGAAAAGTTGATTTAGAAAAGTATATTTTTGTTTCTCTTGAAATTTCCTTGTAGTCCAGTGTATAAAACTTAAGTTATAAGCTACAAATAACTAATCGGAATAAAATTAAGGGAATAAGAGTTATTGTTGCTTTTAAAATAACCTACCAATTTCTTAAAATTAAACACTATCTACAGATTTGCATCGAATTGTTCCTTATGAAAGTGATTTTAATCACTGTCAAATATCTATACTTGTCCCAACTATGTCACGACACCACTGTGCTACCGTTTTTTTTTTATTAATATCTGTTTTTTTTCTCTCTTTGTTCCCCTTTAATTTGCAGACGAGGTTTTTTGATCGTTCGGTTTTTTGCCTCGTATTACCTTAATTTTTTTTTTTTTTATTACTTAATAAAGTCTCCTTAATTTAACTTAACTATCATCTTATTTTTTTTTGTGTATTTTATCTTGAATGGGCTCGTGTATTTTTTTATTTTTTTTCCTTTCAAAAATCAAATCCTCCTAGTTTATAAGGTACGGGCAAAAGCCTTGTATAAAGTATTCCCTGATGATCATGATTATGTGACAACTGTCACGAGGTTTTGGTATACATTAACTATCAACGACTCAACAGACATCAAGTACAACTTTATTATTTTTTTTATCTTAAATTGCTTTCAATTACAATAATTTTTTTTAAATCCTACTGCGGTCCGACAATACTTGTCTCGCCCAGTGGGTTGGCGACCCTTTCTTTTTGTATTTTTCAATGCACCATGAAAGTTACAAATTTTCCGTTGTGGGGAATTAATTCAATTTTTAGCTTCAATGCGAAGCTGAGAAGGTATTGGTTTTACTAAGATGTGTTTTTTTTTTTTGTGTCTGTTACCACTTTTTCTCAGCTCTCACCGAACCGATTTCTTTCAATGATACGTCAAAAGATCACAAATCGTATCTAGTCGAAGACATTACCCTCAAAAATTGAAAAAAATTCCCTCGTTCCCCGTAAATGGGGGAAACCTCCAAAAAAATTACGAATTTAAAAATCGCTAATTTTCGAAATTTTTTCAATTTTTTTTACTTAAAAGTGCCATAACTTTTTCAAAAATGAACATATCAATATAATTCTTTTTTATATAGATGCATAATATCATTACCTTTCATTTGGTATATTTTTTTCATAAATTTAACCCTTAACCTGCCCACAAGGGGGGATTTAAAATGACAACTTTTTCACAAAAAATTAATTTTTTTAACTTAAATTTTGAAAATGTTCCGGAAGGTCTGACACTTTTATATATATCTTAAATTAAAGCTAATGTAATGTTCTTTATTATGCAAAAAAAAAATTTCGGACTTTATTTTATCTTCACGGTGAAAATGGCTACCAAATGCTATTTTTGTGTGAAAATTTTCGATTTTGTATTTTACATTTTTAACTTTATTATGCTATAACTTTTTGAAAAATGTATGGATCAGTACAATTTTTTCATGAGGAGTAGTATTTATATACATCTTTCATTTGACATACTGTTTTTTTAAATCCGACCATTTCCCTATATACGAGGGGGGTTCAAATCTAAAAAATGCATGTAGAAAGTAGAACTTTTTCAACTTAAATTTTGAAAGTGTTCCGGAAAGTCTGACACTTTTATATATATCTTAAATTAAAGCTAATGTAATTTACTTTATTATGCGAAAAAAAAATTTCGGACTTTATTTTATCTTCACGGTGAAAATGGCTACCGAATGCTATTATTGTGTGAAAATTCTCGATTTTATTTTTTACATTTTTAACTTTATAATGCTATGACATATTGAAAAGTGTATGGATCAACATTATTTTTTTATGAGAAATAATATTTTTTAATAATCCTTTTTTCATTCGACATACTTTATCTTAATTAGGATATTAATAATGAACTAGCAGATCATGTAGCTTTTGTAATAATCCACCAATTTTTTAAAATTAAACACTATCTAAAGATTTGCATCGAAGCGTTTTTTTTTTGATAGTGATTTTAATAACTGTCAGATATCATTATACTTGATCCATCTATACCACGTCACCACTGTGCCACGACCCCCCTGTGATGGGTTTTTTATAATATTTGTAACCTTTCAATTTAATTATTAAAATCACGAAAATTCAAAAAGAAAAAATACTAAAATGTATTGGGTATAAGATTGACATTTTTAATAAGGTATTTACTAAGGTTTTTACACCTCCTTAGGTGTATTTAGAAATTAGTTTAAGAGGGTAATTATTTTTTTTTCACTTTGATAAATATGCTATAGAATTGTTTTGCTGACCTTCTTCAATAATTTTCCGGGAGTTTTATGTCCGAATACTTTCGTTGAAAAAAGAATGGTGAACATCGGTTCACACTAAGTAATTTTTCCAGAATAGCTTTTTTTTCTTGATCTATTATATAATAAGATAATTAGAGATTAAATGAATAGATTCTAACGCGAATTAGTAAATTTTTTTGGAAAATATCTGTTATTTAATGTAATACTTTTATTGTTTTTGGAAAACAAGAGAATTTTAAAATAAGTTGAATCGTATAAGAAAACATAGAAATGTATACTTTTAAAAATCTATAGAAATACATAATTTTTAAGAAGTAATGTTATTGCTGAATAAATTTCATCGTGATGCTATGCATTTATTGTAAGAAACAAATTAATCATTAACAAATAAAGAATTTCATCGGATATTAGTCGTGATACAGTATGGCTATAAAAAACCTATGATGTTTCAATTTTCCCTACAATGGATCTAGGAAAAAATAGTAAATTCATAAAATTATATTTAAATAGCCAATAGAAAAATTGGTTTCTTCAGTACTTATATTTCAACGAAGGACTGCTCTTTAACAAATATTAAACAACGACTTGTAAAAAAACCCACCACAGTGGTGACGTGGCATAATTGGGTCAAGTATAATGATATCTGACAGTAATTAAAATCATTATAAAAAAAAACGCTTCGATGCAAATCTTTAGATAGTGTTTCATTTTAAAAAATTGGAGGATTATTCCAAAAGCTACATGATCTACTAGTTCCTTATTAATATCCTGATTATGATAAAGTATGTTGAATGAAAGAGGGATATATATATTATTTCTCATAAAAACATTGTATTGATGATATATGTAAAAAATAAAATCGAATATTTTCACATAAAAATAGCATTTGGTAGCCATTTTCACCATGATGACAAAATAAAGTTTGAAAATTTTTTTTCCATAATAAAGTATGTTACATTAGCTTTAATTTCCGTGTCAGACTTTCCGGAAAACTTTCAAAAGTTAATTAGAAATATTTAATTTTTTGTGTAAAAGTTGTCATTTTAAATCCCCCCCTGTGTGCAGGTAAAGGGTCAGATTTATAAAAAAAATATACCAAATGATAGGTAATAACATCAAGCATCTATAAAAAAAAATTTTAAAAATTTCGAAAATTAGCGATTTTTAAATTTGTAATTTTTTTGGAGGTTTCCCCCATTTACAGGGAACGAGGGAATTTTTTTCAATTTTTGAGGGTAATGTCTTCGACTAGATACGATTTGTGATCTTTTGACGTATCATTGAAAGAAATCGGTTCGGTGAGAGCTGGTTGGTAAAGTGGTAACAGACACAAAAAAAAAACACATCTTAGTAAAACCAATACCTTCTCAGCTTCGCATTGAAGCTAAAAAAGCTAACGGATAAAAAAAAACAATATGAACCACCAAAAATTTGTAACTTGTCTACTTAGTATATAATTAAACAGTCTTAAGAAGTGTTATTTAATTTTCAAATAATATAAAAAACTAAATCATGTATAAATTATTATTTAAAATATTATAATAAATTAATTAAATTAAGTGTCATTTAAATTTCGATCAATGATAATAATGAATGTAATTATTACTAGTATTAACATTTTACTTTTAAATAAAAATGAATTAATAACACATAATTTTTATTTCATTAAGTGGACGGAATTATGAATTTTAAGCAATTTAAGAATCAAGCAACGTATTGTATTAATCGTTATGAGAATAGCATTGAAAAGCATTTTAAAAAATATTCGAAGGGAAGAGATAATATGACTTTAAATGAATTACCAGAAGCTCTTAAACAATTTAATTTCGTTTACTCTGAAGAAATTCTTATTATATTAATAAATCATTTTGAAGGTGAAGGCGCACAATTTATCAGTATGAAAGGTAAAATAAATATTACGTATAATATTTAGACTTTTACTACTTATGAAAGGACAATGTAGTATCTTTCAACATTTTTTTTTTAACTCCAAGATCGATAGTTAATCCGTTGCCAAGAAGGTGAATGGCATCTCCATTTACTGAATTTATTTATAACCAACCAAATGGAACCATGTGTCATCAAGCATCATGAAATTTCACTTTTCGACTTGATATTATTACTTCTTAATTCCATCTGATATACATGATACATTTGTAAGATAATTTTTCATTCGTTACCCAATTTATTTTTTCAAGAGATGAATATGTTTGGTAGTAAAAGTTTTTCTTTTTAAATTTATTTAAAAAAAAATTTTATTACTCAAATATAATAGCAAAAAATAAACATTATTTTTAAACCTTACCCTTTTTTCTCCTATTTGGTTATAAAAATACATGTTCATCATAAATTTTTATATAAGTCATTTTTGTAAAATATTATATGTTTTTCTTAGATTTTTATACATATGCGATTGCGTTAGCAAATAGAACAATACTATAATAATAATAATAATATTATAATAACAAATTTTCTCATAAAAAAATCTTTTCTGCAAAATCTAAATTTGATATTCGTTATAACTTATTATGATTGTCGAAAATATTATAGCTGATATAAAGTAATTTTATAAATTTTAAAAGTTGAATTATTCTATGCATTAAATAAAAAACTGAAATCTAGTTATTTTAAATATTATTTTTATTTTTTTTTTTTAGCATTCAGAAATATATTCGGGTTTTTGTTTATTAACAGGCTCGCCATCATAAAACTAAAAAATAATAATGATATTTATTTATTGTTTTGATTTATTTATTGTCTGTATAAATTGAATTATTTAAATCATTGCTAAAGCTGTATTGATAATAAATTAAATTAGATATTAGGAGGTTTTATTATTGTACAATTGTTACTCCGAAAAGAGCCAAGAAAGGTATTTCTTTTCTTATAAAAATTATATATAATTGCTTAAAGTAAAAAAAATAAATAAAAGATCATCATTATAATAATTGATTAATTGTTGTGACAATTTTAAGTATATTGTAATTATAATGATATCTGACAGTTATTAAAATCACTATCATAAAAATGCTTCGATGCAAATCTTTAGATACTGTTTTATTTAGAGAAATTGGTGGATTATTCCAAATGCTACATGATCTACTATTTCCTTATTTATATCCTAATTAAGATAAAGTATGTCGAATAAAAAAGGGATATAAATATTATTTTTTATAAAAAATTGTATTGATGTTATATGTAAAATATAAAATCGAATATTTTCACAAAAAAATAGCATTCGGTAGCCATTTTCACCATGATGACAAAATAAAGTTTGAATTTTTTTTTTTCCATAATAAAGAATATTACATTAGCTTTAATTAAATATTTATAAAAAAGTGTCAGACTTTCCTGAACACTTTCAAAATTTAATTTGAAAGATTTATTTTTTTATGAAAAAGTTGTCATTTTGAATCCCCCCGTAGATGGGTAAAAAGTCAAATTTATAAAAAAAATATACCAAATGATAGGTAAAGACATCATGCATCTATACAAAAAAAATTATATTGATCCATACATATTTTAAAAAGTTATAGCATTATAAAGTTAAAAATATAAAAAAAGTGGTAACAGATACAAAGAACCCAGCACAGGGGGGTCGAGGCACAGTGGTGACGTTTTTATTAATATCTCGATTAAGATAAAGTATGTCGAATGAAAAAGAGTTTATTAAAAAAAATTATTTCTCATAAAAAAGTTGTGTGGATCCATAAACTTTTTAATAAGTTATAGCATTATAAAGTTAAATATAATATAAATAATAAAATCGAGAATTTTCACACGAAAATAGCATTCATTAGCCATTTTCGCCGTGAAGACAAGTCCAGAGGTCAAATTTTTTTTTTTTCACATTAAAGTATATTACATTAGCTTTAATTTAAGATATATATAAAAGTGTCAGACCTTCCGGAACATTTTCAAAAGTTATGTTGAAAAAGTAAATTTGTTGTGAAAAAGTTGTCATTTTAAATCCCCCCCTGTGGGCAGGTTAATACCATATAATAAGTAAAGACATCAAGCATCTATATAAAAAAAAATTATATTGATAAGTTCATTTTTGAAAAAGTTAGAGCATTATTAAGTTAATAATATTAAAAAAAATTATTTTACAAAAATCGTATTTTTTTATTAACTTTGATGTCAACTTTTGTAATATTATATTATTACATATAATATTAATATATAATAAGATGTTATCATTTGTTCATGTATGTCACAAATTATGATTATACAAGATCACCAAAACAGGGTTCTCTTATTTAAAATATAAAATAACCCTTTAACTATACGATAAAATCTCCCTCTTGTAGAAATTATTAAGTAACGCCTACACGCTGGGACCCCATTTTAATTAACCAATTAGAATACAAAGCCTCNGCATCACGCCGGCAGACAGAGTAAAGGTTGCAAGTAAATATTATTCAAGAATTAGGTATATTAGGTTAGAATATATTTGTAAGCCTATGCGTATTGGGTAGCTAGTCTCGTTACTAATGTCTTTGTTTTAATAAATATCGCGCCGGCAGACAGCGTAAAGAAACTTACAATTATATTTGCAGTGTTTAATTTTTGTCTTGGTTATTATTGTGCCGCATCCTTTCAAGGTGCTTTATTTTAGCACCGGGACACATTGGGCCACCACAATTCTGCCTTGATAATTTTTTTACATAGATATAGATATTTCTGAATCTTGTTTTGGCCAGGCCAGAGGAAAATTTAAGAAATATTGGTATCGATCTCTCAATAAAATATACTCTCTAAAAAAATACTTATTCAACAGACGTAAAAAAAAATCAATAAGTAAAAAAAATTAAAATTGTATTTATAATAAAATACAGAGTGTTTAGAATCAATCACAAGTAAGACCAGTTGTAGACTTTGTGTAATTAAATCATATTATTTAAAGTCTTGAATCGTTTTATAATTAATTACATAGACTATGTTACATATAATGTAAATCGTATACGTAGTGCGTTTAATACGGAAATCAACACTGGATTACTTAAAATATTATTGTATCACACAGGACGTAAGGTAAGTACAATTTAACCTATGCTTTCGAACTTCCAACAATCTATTGTGTGATAAACCATTAATAATTAATGAGAGAAACAATTAATAAAAAAAAAATTGAAGACAATTAAATCTAATTAAAATTACAAAAACTTATAACAAATAATGATTACAATAATTTACCAAGTACTACCAATTTCTTTTTATATTTAACCTGCGCTTTCTCATTTTTTATACTCTAATTCTTCTTTTTCTTTTCTTTCTTTTTATTTTTGGTTTATTACACTTTCACCACGAAGACAAGTCCAGAGGTCAAATTTTTTTTTTCAAATTAAAGTATATTACATAAGCTTCAATTTAAGATATATATAAAAGTGTCAGACCTCCCGGAACACTTTCAAAAGTTAAGTTGAAAAAGTTCTACTTTTTATATGAATTTTTTATATTTGAAACCCCCCCATATATAGGGAAGTAGTTTGATTTAAAAAAAAAGTATATCCAATGAAAGATGTATATAAATACTACTTCTCATGAAAAAATTGTATTGATCCATACATTTTTTAAAAAGTTATAGCACTTTAAAGTAAAAAATGTAAATTATAAAATCGAAAATTTTCACACAAAAATAGCATTCGGTAGCCGTTTTCACCATGAAGACAAGTCCAGAGGTCAAATTTTTTTTTTTCAAATTAAAGTACATTACATTAGCTTTAATTTAAGATATATATAAAAGTGTCAGACCTTCCGGAACACTTTCAAAAGTTAAGTTGAAAAAGTTCTACTTTCTATATGCATTTTTTATATTTGAAGCCCCCCCATATATAGGGAAATAGTCTGATTTAAAAAAAAAGTATATCCAATGAAAGATGTATATAAATACTACTTCTCATGAAAAAATTGTATTGATCCATACATTTTTTAAAAAGTTATAGCACTTTAAAGTAAAAAATGTAAATTATAAAATCGAAAATTTTCACACAAAAATAGCATTCGGTAGCCGTTTTCACCATGAAGATAAGATAGTCCGAAATTTTTTTTTTTTCATGATAAAGCATATTACATTAGCTTTAATTTAATATACAGAGTGTTCAGTAAGTCAGGAAACGGGTTTCTATTGTTCTCATTGTTTGTAACAATGAGAACAATAGAAACCCGTTTCCACACTTACTGAACACCCTGTATATATAAAAGTGTCAGACCTTCCGGAACATTTTCAAAAGTTAAGTTGAAAAAGTTCTACTTTCTATATGCATTTTTTATATTTGAAGCCCCCCCATATATAGGGAAATAGTCTGATTTAAAAAAAAAGTATATCCAATGAAAGATGTATATAAATACTACTTCTCATGAAAAAATTGTATTGATCCATACATTTTTTAAAAAGTTATAGCACTTTAAAGTAAAAAATGTAAATTATAAAATCGAAAATTTTCACACAAAAATAGCATTCGGTAGCCGTTTTCACCATGAAGATAAGATAGTCCGAAATTTTTTTTTTTTCATGATAAAGCATATTACATTAGCTTTAATTTAATATACAGAGTGTTCAGTAAGTCAGGAAACGGGTTTCTATTGTTCTCATTGTTTGTAACAATGAGAACAATAGAAACCCGTTTCCACACTTACTGAACACCCTGTATATATAAAAGTGTCAGACCTTCCGGAACATTTTCAAAAGTCAAGTTGAAAAAATTAATTTTTTGTGAAAAAGTTGTCATTTTAAATCCCCCCCCCCGTGGGCAGGTAAAAAGTCAGAATTATAAAAAAATATACCAAATGATAGGTAAAGACATCATGCATCTATAAAAAAAATAATTATATTGATCCATACATTTTTTAAAAAGTTATAGCAGTATAAAATTAAAAATATAAAAAAGAATATTTTTGAAAAAACGTATTTTTTTTATTAATTTTGATGTCTGTTTTCACCGTGAAGACAAAATAAAGTCAGAATTTTTTTTTTTTCACAATAAAGTATATTTTATTATCTTTAATTTAAGATATTTATAAAAGTGTCAGGCTTTATCTGATTAAAATCACTATCAAAAAAAACGCTTCGATGCAAATCTTTATACAGAGTGTTCAGTAAGTCAGGAAACGGGTTTCTATTGTTTTAATTGTTACAAACAATGAGAACAATAGAAACCCGTTTCCTGACTTACTGAACACCCTGTATAGTTTAGACCAATTTTGTCGGTTCCCTACAATTATTACTATTTACTTTCCTCTGTTTAAATAATGTATAAATATTATATATTTTGTATGATTATCTTTTTTTTTATTTCTTTTATATGATTTTATTCATGTTAAATTAATTTTAAGACAAATAAAAAACTAATAAGTCTGAGTGATAAGTTGCCAACTAAACTAAAAAAGTATTTAACATAATAAATATTATTATTTAAAACATATGTAAATCAGATATTTGTTTTAGATAATACAATGAAAAAATTTAGTATGTTAAACAATGTTAACATTAAAAAAAATTTACTTTTGTGTTAGAAGTTTGTTTTTGAAAATTAATCTGACAATACTTTTTTTTATATTTAAAATATTAATTTAAATATAAAAAATAAAAAACTAAAAAATTGTGGATACATATTGACACGGACCGCGTCGTTCTTTATACACGGAGCCCCGCGACCCGTGACACCTTTATCAGCCGCCGCCCTACTATGTGCATATGGTAGTTTGACTGACTAACACCGCGTGCGATACGCCACGGTACAAAGTCCAGCAAGTGCCGCACGTCCATCTACGACCCGCCGCAAATATACGTTAAGTAATCTCCGTGGCCCCGTACGATACGGATCTATTGAAGTTATACCTGGCAACTCGTTGCACCTACGATTTTTTATTGTCGGTTTTGCTATTAGTATTGAGTGCATTGTATACTTTATTTTGTGTTATTTTTGTGACTATTTTTGTAAGAAGC